CACGAGTCGACTCGGACTCTTGAGGAATTCGATACGCGTTTAGATCAAGCGCGACTGCGGTTATCTCCGAACAGGTACCAGGTCCGAAACGTCACAGAAATAAGAAGCGAATCGTTGGTAAATATCCAGCTTGCGCCGCGAACGTATCGAATGATTGTCTTGTATCCCGCCGATATATCTACGCGCACCCTCGATTTAATGCTGAGCCTTAAAGGCCAGCCAAGCGTGGAATTTGTTTGACAAATGGTATGGAACTAGCGCTAGTACGGGCTAGTACGTCCTTGGAGGAAATCGCGTTCTCCAAGTTGGCGATACGTTTGGCCGAGCGATTAATGTAAAGCGAACGCAACAGCGAGCGCTCGCGCATTGCTCAAACAGCACAGAACGGTGCGAATGCGGTTTATGAATCGACACAGAAGCGACGGGCATCTCTGTAATCAGTTCTGGAAAATAGACGTCTACGTGATCGCTTCAATATTTCATTGGCTTGCGCTCGATACAGGCTGCGTGAAAACGTCGAAGTAAATTATCATTTTATCTACCGCGAGTCTGTTTGTAGGCTTTTTAATTCCAGTATCTACCTATAGGTACACATTTAACACGTCGATTGTCGGACTGATTCACATGGAAATGTCTACAGGACTAAAAAATTTCTGTCGAGCCAATTTAAAACTATAGAATCTAATATTTGTCATACTAATTATTTTCGTATTTTCATCTAAATTTACGAATTCTACCCAGATTCGTTTTCATTAACATTTAGCTTTTGAAATTAATTGTTGAAGTTCCTTAGTGAAAAACTCTGTCATCCATATATGGACAACGTTTAATTCACGCATTCAACGTGTTAATTTTTGGTTGTCTACTTATGATGTTCAATTTATTCATATATATGTCATATACAAATTTAAAATTTCTGGCATGCAGCACAAGAAACATATCACATATTGAATTTTGATGACTTGTTACTTTATTGAGAAATATTGTATTAACCATACATGTCATAAAATAACAAGTCATCAAAATTAAATATGTAATATGTTTCTTGTGTTGCATGCTAGAAATGTTGAATTTGTATATGACATAAAATCCTGAATTTTAAAAGGTGGTACATCTTTGATTAACATTTAATTTCATTTAAAAATATATAATAAAAGAAACAAAGATTTAAAGAAATGGTAACAGTAAAAAGGAAAACAATAGGTAAATAAGAATAGACATCTTTTACATTTCAAAAGTCAACTTCATATTAATACATTCGCGACCGACAGATATTTTACGTTTCTAATACCGGGTACTGACAAAATTACGAATAATTAAGCACGAATAAAATTTGACGTGACGTAAATTCACGTTAGCGATCGCGAATATGTCAAGACACAGCTTCCTTCTCGGTCCAAAGAAACACGAGTTTTATCTCCTCCGAAGAGTCTGCGCAGTAGATAAAAATTCTCATTTTTCTATTAATAATCAACACCTCAAAGTAATATTCTCCCAGTAAAATTTAAATATGGTCAAGGTTCAGGCCTCGATATTACCGTGACAGATCGTTTTAATATACCGTTAAAAATGCATGATATAGTACCGAAAATGACAAGGTTGATCGGTTAAGGAGGAGCTCGATCCTAAAGCAGGAATGGCGAGGTCTTATTAGGCGATGTTCTTCCCGTCGTAATTAAACTTGCACTGGCCAACGATGCCGTAATATCCAGCTTGTAGTTCGCGGAACTGCTTTCAGTGCTAATTTACGTTAGCAGTTACGACCGTCGCAATTAAAAGGGAAGGCAACGCGCGAAGAAAAGCGGCATAAATCTGTTCAGGTGCTTCCGTTTGAAGTCGGCACTGGTATCGAGTAACGCAAACGATAAAGTGTTTCGAGGTGATTTTATCGTAAATTCGTGACGTTCTCAAGATACAGGTGGCGGTGTTCGCGCCGTTAAACTGGAAAATTTATCGCGATAGCCTTTTTCGTTGTCCAATCCGCACGTTGATGTATTGGAAAAGGGATGAAACGGCGGAAGTAGGAAACAATTTAAATTAAATTATCTCGAAGGACTTTTTATTCGTCTTCACTGCTTGTAGAGTTGCCAACCGTACGGTTGAGATAGAATAAATCAGTTATTGGAAGCTAAATGTTGGTAATATTTTTCAAATTGCTCAGTGGTAATCTAATGCAACTTGATTCATCTTTTCTTTATATTATGAGGTTTGTTAAAGCTCTGATTGATATCTTTCATGTAGTGTTACTGGAAAAATATTTAGGCATGGTGTTAATTGGCAGTTCTGGATATTATAAAAACTTATTATTTACGCCAATAGTGGTGCAGAATTTTATTCATTTTATTAAGTATTCCTTTTTATGATCTGGGAATGATAACCCTGATTGCAGCTCCAAAATTTAGAGCACCTTTCGATTTTTTTAGATAGATGAACTTCCTCTTGTACATATGAATACACGAATGCACGTTTACAAATTAAAGTTCAACCTTTAAATGTCACGTCATAAGTACACTTTTTGCAGTAAATCCGTTTTGAGATATATACTAAAAATTGAGATCTTTATTTGTAACATTTATAAAGGATGGTCCATACTGGTATCTGCAAACAGTATCCTAGGCCTTTTAAACTTATGTTCGCACTATATCAAATTATTCTGAAGAGTCGACTGCATTAAGGATGCGCCTAGTCGTTCTCACACCCACTACATGTTAAACTCGACAAACTACCCAATACTTTATCACAGCAACAAAAAAACACCACACTATTTGATTTTCTTTCGAAACATCGCCTGTTTGATTTCTATGCGTAATTGCCACGATCGGGACCAGTGAACGTGAATTAACGTCGAGAGTGGTTTTACAAATTATGCCTCGTTGCGCCATATCGTTTCGTATGGCGACCGGACGAGCAAAAAGCGGGTAATTATAATCATTCTCTATGCGAGACGGGTAATTAGCGATCGCGTTTCCGCGGATTAGGATTTCGAAAGGTTGCCCCAATGATGATTTCACTTTTCAACGGAATTCCGTGACGGACCAGGCTTCGATGATCATCGCCGCGGCGCCGCCCGACGTTCGTCGAACGCAGCTGGCGAAGGTGTTAATTAATTCCCCTTTGTTCCACCGCCTCTTAGCACCTACATCGCCGCCGATGCTCGACGGAATCGTTAGTCATCGAAAATTTAGCCGCACCTGCGCGTTTCTGGATGACCCACCGCGTTATTTATGCGCGATTGTGCCATCCACTTATACGCGCCCTATATTCGCGCGCGTTCCTGTGCTATTCCGTGCCAAAAATCTTGAACCATCTTGCGATACGATGAAACTTTATTCGAATTAGGCGTGGCTTTGAGGAGTATAAATTATGAGATTGCTACATTTTTCAACTTAACATAGGGCGATCAAATTTAATTGATAAGCGAAATATACACGAGAGAAAGTTTACTAAAAGGTTTAGAGAATGCAGCAGTATGTATTTAAGTCATAATTAATAGCTTCAGGTGCTAAACTTATTTCGAATAAGGAATGGCTTCAAAAAGAATGAATGTCAAATTTGTTGATATTTGTAACTTAAGACTGGATGATTGAATTTAATTTATGGAATGATTTAACTTTATCGTGTGTTGAACATTCCGATTTTGGATTCGGAGTATCTGTGGCAATAATGTAATATGCAATGGCCTGAATTATTTTAGGAAGAACAGAATTTCTCTTTAATATTATATATTAAGGAAACATTGGCAGAAGTAAAATTGTATTAAAAAATATTCAAAGAATATAATTCTTACCAGAAAAATGTATGAACGCGTTCAATCTGAATTCCATTCGTTTATTTGTGTGACCGAATACCTGTTATGGTAAATGAAATCCGAACCGAGTTACATCGCCGTAGCGACGCCTGTGGAGCACAGTGGGGTTAAAGAATGAAATTTAAGAGGAACGAAGTGGTGCCTTGGTAGGTGGTCGAGGACTTTTGCAGAGTACTGTATGTTCGTATCTGTCATCGTGCCAGTCGCTCCAATTACAGCCATCACGTCATTAAATTCAATTATTTATGAAGCATAAACAGTAGGAAACGCTCGCCTGGCTATTCGTGGGCATTCCTCGCGGCGTGATTGCTGCTAGATATACCGGTTACCAATTCTAACTACTTTTTGCCAGGGATAATCGATAACTGGAACTGTTTATACGTCTGGACGATTGATTGACTCCGTGAGTATCGTTTTCCATAACTCGGTCCTCGATTCCAGCGTAAGGATCGATTCTTCTTCTCTAGCTACGATCGATTGCGATCAAGTGCGATCCTAAGTTGTGTGACATACAACTATATGTACAATGATTGCGATAGGTACATATTCGAGGAAGCTCTTGTAGAGATAAAGAATACCTTTAGCCAAGACTAAAATTGTAGTCTTTTTTTCCTTGATAATATGTGAGTATGTTAACATCAAATTTAAAATGAAAATTGTCTAATAAAAATATGTAATTTATATTTCATCAGGTACTTTCTCTTCGATTAAAAGAGCTTCTCGATTATGTTGCCTTATTAGTTAAAAAACTGTAGTCGTGTTGACAGTTACTTATTTGACAGCCTTTAATAGAATACACAGAACGACATGTTTTTGTGACACAAATGAATCTTTAATAAAAGATATTGTAGAAGAAAAAAGAAGCGATTTTATATCGCAGGTGTACCGTTGCACCTGCGACAGAGGTATGATCACATTAAATCAATCTGCGATAAATCATTCGACTTCTCTCTGCACATTTTTTTCCTTATCCTCGATCAGAATAAAGTGACATTTGTACTAATTACACGAGTCATTTTCTCAGCGTATCACGCATCTAATCCTCTTAGCAACTCGAACTGTACCCTTGACTCGACTGTTCTGATATTACAGGACGTATTAACAATTATTTCGTTACACTTAACGTACTTTTGTTGATCTTTATTTCAAAATTCAAATAATTTAATAAGCATGAAATATGATCAATCAATACATACGTTGATACATACTAGAAAAGCTTACAGGTCCTTAATTAAAGATTGAACAACAGCAGTTGAAAACCCTTTGCATCAAAAATAAAATGACTCATATACTTTACATTAAAAAAAGCTGAGAAGCGATCTGTGATCAAACGCGACAGTAAATCCAAAGCTGAAATTGAAGAAGTCCTCGTTTAATCTTTATCTTTGGTCCTTTGATTTGATTTTATCCTTTGACCTTTTCAATTTATTATTTCCGTTTAATCACAGGATTTTTCAGCAAAACGAAACTAGAACGATTTTTAACCGTGAAACAATGAGTCTATTGTTAGATCGATATTTCTACCTTCAACTTCAGTAAAATATCACACTATTATGTTTACAAATTAATATAAATTAAAGAATAATCAATCTACTATGGGAAACATAAATAAATAAAAGAATCTACTTTCAAGCCAATCCCCAGCCAACGAAAAACATCAAAATGATCGTCCAAGGATTCAATGATCCACATTTTGCCACACAATAAGACCAAACGACTAGAAATCGTCCATACCAGAAGTAACGAGTGATTCCAATGCTGGATTCGCGAAAAGAACCTCTCTCAAGTACGATTCCATCTGGACGCTTTTTAATTACAGACTGCTAAGCGCAAAGCCATCCAGGACTACGTCAGATAACATCTGAAGGCGTCCAGCCGGCAGAACCGTTCAAAACGACCCGGCAGATTTCATCTGTGGTGCGATTTTGCATCGGGAAGGGAACTAGTTATTTATTTGCAGCGATACAGCCTGCGGGAGCGTCGAAGGTTTTGCTGGCAGCAAATGGATAGTCATGGAAACCTGATGTAATTATTATATTTGCGTCTGATCGAATCAGACCTTGGAAAAGAAAACACACCTAAAATGATAAATACTTGATCGATGTTTGTGTGAACTGTCTTGCTAAAGATTCGATCCTGCAGTAAGATAACACGTGTGATCGATGCTAAGGTGTCAATTGCCATGCCTTGCACGTGCGCATTAGACTCGGAATGTAATTCTCAGTTTGTTGTGTAACGTTCTCGATTTTGTTTGAGACCGATGTTTAGACTCATTGTCCACCAACTACAGAGTTTTGCAACTACCCATTGGTTTGAATATTTACAGATGAGGACAGAAAAGAGGTCGTTAACATTCCAGAGAGATCCTTCAGGGACCATAAGGTATTCGTGTTCTTGGCATGGTTCGTTGACTGGTCGGTAATCAAAGTTGTTATTGAAAAATTGGAAGAAGCAGATAGAGTTCAAATGGTAGCCTGTATTGATAATAATGTTGTTGATGCTGCAGGACTTCCTGTATTTTTCGAGAAAGTGTTCTTCAAATTTGGCTATTATTTTTATTTCATCAAAAAGCATTGTCACCTGATGAGTTTATTATTTCTTAACACTAGGACTACCAAGAAATTTGACTCATGAAGTTTGGACTTCTTGCTGAAATTACTGAATTACTGGTAACATTTATACTGCAATTTTTTTTAAGAATTATTGTATAAGAATGTTATATTTAATGTCCATAAGAAGCATGAGTTGACTAAGTTGGTAAATTTAGCTCAGGTACCTCAGATTTCTTGCTAAAATTACTGGCAACGTTTATACTGCAATTTTTATTAAGAATTATTGCATAAGGGAGTAGGTACATATATATAAATTGATTCGTCCAACTGTCTATTTTCAAAGACATAATAATGTCCATAAGAAGCATGAATTGACTAAGTTGATAAATTTAACACAAGTACCTTAGATTTCTTGCTAAAATGATCAAATCACAACGTTTTTCCTGCAATTTTTAGTGAGAATTATTAAAACAGATTTAGTAGTGTACATAAAAAGTACAAGTTGAGCATTGGTAGTTTAATATTACACGCTTCAGTCCACACAGTGGTCGCAAAGATGCCGTCGAGTAGAATATATCGCGTCACGAAGTCACCAGTCTCCCATCTTGCTCACGGTTAACCTCTTCCTCATTTTCAATTACGCTCGTGAAGAGGCATTACGCGACACGATTCGTCCCGCCACATCTCTGCCAATTAATACTTTGTAAATCAATCCGGTACACGGACGACGCAGCGATTCGTGGACTCGCCTTTAACAACGCCGCGATAACGCGGACCACGGTCGCCATCGAGATTCCACTCGTCTAATAATACCCTGCGAACCGGCCGTAATTGCTACCATCTGTGTGGAAATGGCCATTCTCACTCGAGATAATCGTCCACAGTCGCACGATTAATAAGCGATAAAGTCGCCGAGCCCTTCCCTACGCCGCCCATCGCTTCGTCCATTCTTCTGCGTTACTTCGATCTTCCACCATCGTTTCATCTTCCCCTGTACGTTTGAAAGCCACCCCGTGGCACGATGTTCCTCGATACACGTTGCAGAGTTCCGCACCTGTTCGATGACTGTCGATTAAGAACGATGAAAAGATTACCTGTTTGAAAATCATGCATTCTGACTCAATTTTTAGGTCTTCTGAGTATTTCTTCCATTTCTTCTATAATTCTTAAGGTATTTTATAGAGATTTTATTCTGCAATAGTATTGTGAACAGTTTTTCTATATTTTTACTGGTGACCAATACAGTATTATTATTCTGTATTATTTTTCTGTTTGATTTCGCGCTCAGAAGTTTATATAAATTAATACGAGTTTCATATTTCATTATTATTGTAGATTATTCAGGCTCCGGCGCAAGGCAGGTTCAGCGCGTTCGCCGGAACCCGGTCCCGCGTTTTAAAAGGCTCCGCGGTCTACGAAAATTACTGAATTAAAAGGTACCGATTTTGATTAACTTTTTACAGACTGATGATACCATTAACAAATGGAAACAATTTCTGCTGAGATGCAAGACATTTTTTTAGTAGCGATGATTAAATTGAAAGCAGTAACAAAAATCATCAAAATATTATTATTTAATATTCATCTTATAAAAAATATATAGCATTTGTAAATAAATAATTCTTCGTTGTAAAATTGAAGTGTAGGATTTGAATGTGAATTCAAGTCCCGAAAATTTTTGAACCCGGCCCCGCAAAAGGTCACGCCGGCCCTGAGATTATTATATACCGAAAGAAGTTACAAATTTAGCGAAAAACGTCATATATTGCGTCATACTTTGAATATTTATTCTTAAAGTTATTGTTTGGTACTCTGAAAGATTCAATAGCCATCGTCTACCATTCAAGTAGATCTCGCATGTTAGAATACACCCTGTATATTCCACGCAACATGTTACACGTTACCAAGTATTGCACTTTACGCTACACGTCTTCGTGCTAAAAGTCGACTATATAAATATTGATAAGCAGCTGATCGTTACCCACGGCCACGCAAAGTCACGCGAGCGGAAAGACTACTCCGTATGTAACACGTTGATATCGCAATTATCGTATCGCATCGTTGTTGGTCTTCTAGATCAGAGATTCTCAACGTGGTTCGCATCGACCCTCGATCTGACAGGTAGTTTAACGATAAATGTTATTGACAACATAAATAAAAAAATAAAAAGAAATTCACTTGTCACTTGACACCAGTCCCCTTTTTTAGTTGAAATACCATAATAATACTATACATAAACACATATATCGTTTGGTGTAAATGCAATTGAGGTTGACAATTTTTCAAAATGATTTTAAAATACCGTAGGACTGTACACCATATTTCTCCATTTTTTAAATTGAAAGAGGAGAGAAATAAAATGATGAATAGCGGGAGCTATAGAAACAAATAAAGGATAAGACAAACAGGGTCAAATTTAATGAAGGTTAGGTCAGGATTAGGTACACTATTAATCACGAGGAGGATACGAAGACAAATCGCGGTTAATCAATAAAGATTTTAAATAAGTAAAAAGATACTGAAATAAATAAACAAAATTTACAAATGAATAAGGGATGAGAAACGCTGTTCCGGAAAATAAGATAGCCGAGTGCGCGCGATGTCGGGGCAATTACGTTTCTTTTTACTTTGCCGCGAATAAATCAATCAGGGGAGCACAACCAATTATCCACGAAGGACACGGGCGCCGTCTCCTTCGGTTTTCGGGCGACGCTGCGACTCGCTGACATTGAAAAAGCGTCCCGACGCTACGTTGCGCACCCGTACGAAAAGCAATTACTTCTTATCGTGTGACGGATCAGCGTCTGACGCAGACAGCGCGCATCTTGTCAGTATTTGAGCCTCGTAATTATCCAGGCATTCTGCATTTTGCACTCGGATGTCCCATCTGAAGAGACATTGTAGGTACACCGAAGTTATTGATTATACAGGACAAACTTAAGTGAGTGCAAATTTCTCGATGATGCATGTTTTCTTGAAGTTTTCCGTTCAGTGGAAATTCATTCAAATGCAGCAAAAATAAATGAAAGAATAATGTATATAGTATAAAATAAGAGTACCTAAAGGAAGCTATAAGCAGCATTTGTAGAGGAAAAGTAGGTGTACCAAATGGTGCAAGTTGAGACAATAACGTAAGACTGGAATTTAAAAAAGGGACTTTCAGTATATCTTATACTTCATTATATTAGAAAATTTTGATTTTAAAGTTGAAATATGTCTTTTTGTCTAAAGATTCATATAGATACCATGGTTCCAAAGCTGCACTATGTTATTTTATATAGGGATACTTACTTTCTCCATTAAAAATGAAAGAGAGAAGGTCAAATCAATTTATCAATGTAATTACATCCCCATTTCAATAATCGTTATCAAAGCCTTCAGAAAATGCAGCATTAACGACTTCGTAATTTGTTCAATTTCCTTCCTCAATTGGGAACAAGTAATTCCCACAAAGTAAAACAAACACCCCCTAAAAATAAATCAAACAAAATAGTAATGATATCCACAGTCAATCAACCATCAACTTTTAAATAGAATCGAAAGGTTAATCGAATACTCAACCCACGCAATTCTTCAATTACCAATAAAATATTCTCACATTTCCACTTATCATTAAAATTTTTTTAAATTAACTAATGAGCAGGTCCCGGAG